CGAAAAAGTGAACCAAGGTCATCAAAGGTCAATGACCTGACCTGACTTTCCGGTGACCTTGACACCCACCCTAATGCATGGAAGCAACATCATATCCCATGTTTGAACGCTTAAAACCATGAAAAGACTGCAAACGCGCCGCTAATGCGAGCCGACATACGCCGAATCGCGATTCCGGCCAAACATGGTCTCGAAAAGTAGGTCAAAGGTCAAAGGTCATTAAGGTCAGGGTCATGACAATTTCAGGGTGGGTGTAAAATTGATTAACGCGAGGGTACTGAAAGTTTCGTCGCGATCGGCCGCTTTTTACGCGAGTTATTCGCGAAAAACCGAGGGAGGGGGGTCCGTTCGACCCCCCCCCCTCTATACGGGCGAGGGTTAAGTTGATCTCACCCGAAGAAAAAGTATACCATTCGAGACGCCTGAGCTAGACAAACACGATGCTGCTAAAATCGCGGATCTGCGATCATTTTTAGCGAAGTTATTTACCAAAAACCGAACCTGTGCCTTGGGCCACTTTACCTGACCTCCGAAGTCATCGGCTGACCCTGGTCCTTAAATCGGAGACCAATCGCTGCATTTCGTAACGACGCACACGATCGTTTCTTTCGTGAGGCTCTAGCTCAATTAGGGGCGAATCGGCGAAGGGGGTTGTTTCCTCACTTCCAACCCCCAACGTCCCCTCGGTATTCAGAAAACCTGAAGGTCCGGTGAGGGTTAAAACGTTTCTCCTGAACGAGGAAGAAATGTAAAAGTCAAAGCTCTATAGACGTCCTGTAAAAGTGGCCATAATAATAAATTCGTTAGAAATAAGATGCTTTTTAAACCACTTCCTCATATAAAATCGGGTGCTGGGACCAATCTTATAAACGCTTTAGAATGGACAGGGCGTCACTGGCTGAAGTTTGGGTGCAGAAAACGGCTATAGTTCGTTTTTTTTTTTTTCAAAAGGACGCTGGCTCCAAGTATGTTTTTCGAACAAGCACGTGTTTTAGCGAGCAAAACGAGCAAAAACTGAACCTGAGAAAATCGAACGTCGACTAATGTTAGCATGCGATTTCTTCCCGATAATTTCCATATGTGCGTTTTGGAACCATATATGAGAACAGTGGTGACGTCATACTGTCGAACATGTATTGCAATGTAACATATAACTATCATGGACGGAACTGCTTACTCGATTATAAGCTCGGCAACAGTGAAAAACTAAGTTTCACCCAAATTCGTTGACACTTGTCCCATTGCACGTACATTTGGGTGCCTGCTGCCACCAGTGACGTCATCGTAGTATGTTCATTTTTAAGAAACAGTTTCCAGCTACTTACCGTGCACAATTTGAAATCGGTTATTTTTCGGTAAGAAATTCTTCGCCAGACACTGAAGCTGCCAAAACTCACGTGAGAGCTTCGATATTGAACTTTGAGCCAGCGTCCTTTTGAAAAAAAACGAACTATATTACCTAAATGCAAAATGGTTTTCATGCATTTCAGTCAATTGTATATTGTCGGTCCCAGTGGCCGAGCTAAAAAAATCGGTAGTGTTTTGCATCTTTTACGCCCTAAGAAACTACACCATCTATCAAAGTGGGCGGGCTTATTTGAATGGGAGGGCGCATTATGCACGAATCGTGTGCTTTCGTTTATTTTGGATTGTATTTTACCACATCCACTGCTGGTATCACTATTAATATTAGGGGAAGTTGGGGGAACGCCGAAGACTTTTTTCTGACGCCCGTAGCACGCAAGGTAGACAACATAAGCTATTCTTGTTGGCGTCATTCGAGAGGCCAGTCTTTTGCCTTTCAAACATACCAGGCGCATTTGATGAATTCGCATACCGTTAAGCGCACAAACTAAAAATATCAAAGAAGTGACTTTTTCGGCGTTGCCCCGGACTGCGGGGAAAGCCGAAAATGGGAGAAATGATCTACGGGGAATGCCGACATTGATGTTTTGCCATTTTATCTCAAACTTTATCCAGAATTGATCAAAGCTGACACGCGTTTTAAGAGCTTGAGGACGCGGTGCACACTGGAAGTTATAATTGTGTGATATAATAAGAACATGCCAGGTAAATCATTCCTTATAGGTAACAGGCCGTTGTGTCGGTTGAAAGTGTAATTTGTGTGACTAAAAATACGCGTTGCTATTCTACAGCAGTAAAGTCCACGTAGCGTGCTTTTAACACGTGCGTAATCGCACGTTTTCGGCATTACCCCAGCCTGCCATACTTTCATTTGCAGGCCCATAACTTTTCAACGTGCTGTATAAATTTCAAATAGGCAGCACACTTATGCAAAGACATGCTAAAGATTACTTGACCGAATTGGCCAGACAAACGGTAGCATAATGAGTAAGAAATGCAGCTTCAAAGGCGCATGTAGTACAAGGGAAACGCAGGGGCGGCGCCACGGGTTTTCGATAGGGGGGGACGGGGACTGTAGCTGTCCGAAAATCCCAAAAGTAGATACTGATCGTGTATGCAAAAAAAAAAACGAGGCACGTAACGCCGCGAAACTTGGCAAAGCCCAAAACACATCGAATGGTGCATCCCGTTTCCAAACTTATCCTAGGACACCTAAGATCGATCACCTTTTCAAGCATCCTTGCCTCTAAATCAAAATTTGCAGTCTTGCCAACTCAAAGCTGGTTTCCTACAAGCTGCGAATTGCTTAGGGATACTGGCCGCGTGGCCGAGTGGATTGGGTGTCCGGCTGGAAATCCGGAGGCGGGAAGTTCGCGACCGGTCGGTCAGTGTCGAGTAGCAGTGCCAACTATTCTTACGTTTCGTACTTTCAAATTTTCGATCTTACGTCTGGTCAGCTTCATGGCTTCACCATCATATAGTCATGGAGGAAAAGTGGGAATGTCTTCTGCTCTGACAAGTGCGCCAAAACTGCAATATAATTTCAGAATCATGACATCACCACCTGATCCATATGCAACGGGCAGGGTGCAGCTAATGGCTAGCCGTCAGTGGTCATGTCATTGGTGGTCACTCAAAAGGTCATGCTATGTAGGTCAAGGAAGGTCACCAGCCGTTATTTGATCACACTTTCTGATGGATTTTACTTACCAAGAGCTTCGCGGGAAAAACGAGCGCATGCCGCATGCACCGTTGAAAAAAATTGAGTGAAAGGGTCTCAGGTCCGGCGGCCTCTGCAGGTGAAATGCCCCAGGGTAGGATTCCGGTCCTTGTTGATTAACTTCGTCAAAAATGGCAGAAGAGCTTGTGATGTCGGCACCATTGTGTTCGTCATGATCGAGCTGGCACGACCTGCATCGTTCTAATATTCACCCTCCAATCGTAACAACACAGCATGGGGATTGACAAATGGCGGGGCACCCCCTTTGGGAGGTAATGAAGGTCTCTGGAAACCTCATCCCTCATCTGACATCTCTTTAGCATTAGTGGCTCTCCTTATGGAACAGGTTTCTTGACTGGTCTGCTTCACCCCAAAATTCAAAGACTAGTCAAGGTAAAACCGAGCGCACCACAGTGAGCACAATTTGATAAGCTGGTGAATCTCAGTTTCCATGTAGAACCTTTCACGTATCACGTACCTAAAACACTTTCGTACACTCATGCAAAAGCAACTGCCATGTTTCAACAGCTGGTAATGGCATTTTCACAGCCGCTGACGTAAGAAGGGGAGGGGGGGGGGGGGCTCGATTAGACCCCCAGCCGTTCGGCCGCCGACCGAACTTAGTTTTGCAGAAAAAAAAAACGAGTGCTATCGAGCCCCTTGACGAGAGGGAGCCGATGCTACCCAATTATAAGGTCTTGGGCTACTGCGTGCTTTTTTGGTCCTGCCTGTGATCTATCCGAACACTTCTCCCCACAAGTGCTAGGGTTAAATGGCATAGATTTCAAATGGTTCCTGTGGTAGAACTGCCATGCTTGAATTTGACTAATTAGGAATGGAAAATATCCATATAGTAACGGAAATCTATGAAATTTCAGTTAACTTGGTTTTCTCGGCAATGTGGTCTGGCAGTGGGGTGGGGAGGTAATAACCCAGCCTGGCGCCCCAAAAAGGGGGGGGGGCACGATCCCCGAGGCCCTGCCGATCACCTTCTAGACATCACAGCTCCACACCTTTTGCAAATGGCCAGGACCCCTTGCGATACATCCCAACAGCAATCTTTATTCAGAACCTGCCTTGATTAACCAACGATGCATTAAATGCGACGGGTAACTTTACAATGCATTATTATCAACTATTGAACGGGCCTCGCCGATAGGGGGGTACTGTACCCCCCTAACTTTTGATAGCGGGGGACCTGTCCCCCCGTCCCCCCCGATGGCGCCGCCCATGGGGAAACGTACCTTGAAAACGCTCTTGGCGCCCTCACAGTCGAAGTATTCCGAATGACGACTCGTAACAAACATGCGATAATTGTAGTCACTTAAGCTTCAGAGCATCACTGACAGGTGGCATCCATGTCTTACGGTTTTCGAAATATCACGAATTTCGGCTTTGCCCCAACTCCGGCATTGCCCCAACTTCCCCTATCTAATGCCGTGAATACGACAGCATTCCATTTATAAGATTAGGCCAATGGAGTCGCGCCCCACGAGCTCGGTTTTCCGCTGGGCCGCTACAGGCCAGGAAGTCGAGCTTCGCCTGAGGGCAGGACAAAGGTCAGCGAGGGAGCGCGGGGTCAGCCAGGTATCGCCAAGTGCCGAGCGGATGCCGCTCCCTCCCCTCTCTTCCCCTCTTCTCCCCTCCCCACCTCGGTATAGATGGGGAGGGACCGAACTGCCAATGACATGCGAGCGGTCAAGGCCGCTCGCGCGGCAGCGACCCTGGCGGCCGGGTGCCGCAACTGGGATTCAGCCAAGTTACCGATTCGCCTCCTGTGGGAGAGCCAAACCAGGGACATACTTTTTAGATATACTGTACCTACTTTATTCATATTGGGACAGTGTTGGGGTCTTTCTGGCGTTTTTCCGGGCCGCTGGCCCAGCGTGCGGCGGTGCTGCAGACGGCAACCCACCGGGAGGATGAAGTTGGTCAGAGGCGGCAGCCGCGCTGTGTGCTCGTCTATCCAGGCCTCCAGCTCGGTCACCCAGGCGGCCGGCACGCGCTGGCCCGTGCGCCGCGTGTGCGCCGGCCGCGCCGAGCCGCGCGGAGTGGCCACCAGCGAGCCCACCTCCTGCAGCGCACACTGGACACGCTCCAGCTGCCAGCAGTACGTGTGGCCGGCGTCCCGTGCCAGCACGCGCGCCAGCCTGCAGGGCCAACAATACCCGTCAGAGGGTAGCCGTCAGAGGGCAGCCGTCACACTGCCCGTCCACTGCCCGTCCACTGCAGTCCACTGCAGTCCACTGCCCGTCCACTGCCCGTCCACTGCCCGTCCACTGCAGTCCACTGCAGTCCACTGCCCGTCCACTGCAGTCCACTGCCCGTCCACTGCCCGTCACACAGCCCGTCCACTGCAGTCCACTGCCCGTCACACAGCCCGTCCACTGCCCGTCCACTGCTCGTCCACTGCCCGTCCACTGCAGTCCACTGCCCGTCTAGTGATCTGACCTGACCCGACAACCTACCCCAAATGCATTAGGACATCAGTTTGATGGCAACTAAAATACGACATTCGTAATCAGGACCCGAAAAGAACGTATAATCTCACACTTGACAAAAAGTTCTAGCAGGTCCCAATTTTCCCACTTTTGAGTCATTGATTGACATGTAAGATTAACCAATTACATAGGACCTTAAAATTTAGCAGCATCGGCTTTTCCTCGTCACAGGCAACGCCTTCGTTTTTTTCTCGCGAAACCTCAACTTGATCAGGGGCCGAACGGCACGGGGTCCAACGGTCCCCTATACGTTAGGCGTCGTAACAAAGAAGTGCGGGCGAAGGTTAGCCCGCGTCAGGCTGGGGCTCTTGGATTGCCACGCCTTGCTGGGGAAGGGAGTTGTTTGAACGACCCCCCCCCCCCCACCCTTCTAACCCAGTCCCTGGGCCACGACGCACTAAGCGGCGATCGACAGAGCGCAAAAAATGAAGTTACTTCGGTCACTTTTCAGGTAAGGTCAGAGGTCAGGTCACCAGAAATCATTAAAGGCCAAATTTCGCTAATTTTCTGGTCAAATGTCGAACAATCAACAGGTTTATTCGCCATCAACGTTACCACCAAGATATCGGACACAAACACGTACAATAGTTAACGGTTAAATAAGCACAGACACTGACAGGTTAACACTCCCTGTCAGTGTCTGTGTTAACATAATCCAATCCGCCGCCGCCGCCGCCGCCGTGTGCGACGTAGTCACTTTGTAGCGCTTATTGCGGCGGCGTCCGTTGACCTCGAACAATGGTTAACAAACAGGCGCATAACTCGAAAACTAGCCCGGCAGTAGCTGGGGTATTCCGTCACCCGCCAGTTGATGGGGGGGGGGGGGGGCGTTAATCGTAGGCGCAGCGCGAGTGGCGAGAAATTGCCAAGACTGAATTCAAGATTATTGAAATAGCAAAAATCGAAGATAGCCATTTGATTTTTATGGTACCGTAAACGGGGACGACATTGCCTAGCTGGGTGACTTTGCCATCTTTCTAGAAAATGTTTTCAAGGAAATAGTTCACTTTTAACATGGGGTTTTGAACTGGAATAGCAGTTTTGTATCTTGGGCTAAGACAAGCACAAATCAGGAGCTTTGACGGCCCAACGATCACCCTAGGCAAAGATATTCCATTTCTCGTCCCGAAAAAGTGCCTTGCTGAGGAATGCAGCCACGTCATCGTCAGCCAAGCAGCATGCTGCTTACAGCCAATGGGTTTGAGCTACGCGATATGTTTAATGAACGCGTAAAAAGCTTGCGCGTCAAACAACATTGCCGTTCCTGAGATCTGGAAGCGGCATTTTGCACGTGCGCACGTGCAACCGGGATCCAAACTGACTTTTGCACGGCACCCTACTAACCGTTCCCCAACCGTGTACCAAATTTGAGCGCAATCGGCCCAGCCGTTCTCGAGATCTAGAAGCGCCCCCTGCACGTGCGCACGTGCAGTAGCACCCTAACCGCAACACATGGGAATGCATTGCTTGGTGGGTGCCTAACTGTATGCCAAGTTTCAGTGAAATCACCCCAGTAATTACCAAGTTATTGAAATGGGAACAAATTGGGCACTTCTTCTTTTTTTGCATTTTGCACGTGCATTGGGGGTCACTCACATAGATCAAGAGTATCCGACCTTTGGTAGAAGGGATGCAGCTACCCTACAAAAATTACCGCAAGACAATCACCCAGGCGGCTGCTGAGATATGAGCCTCTCAAAATCACTACTTTTGCAAAACAGCTTGAACACCCTTGACTTTTCACGTGACACGTGCCACGACGGTCCCTAAAATGTATCAAGAGTTGTCAATTACGGGGTAGAAGGAATGGGGCTACCCAACAAAAAAGACCGCAGGCCAATCGGTCCAGCGATTGCTGAGAGATAATAAGCCTCTCAAAAGCGTACAGGCCGGACCGGGCTGCTCAATGCTCATGCTGAGATTTTTCCGTTATATTGAAAAGATTTCGCTTCGCTCGCTGCGCTCGCTCGCTCGTAACCAGTAAAACGCCTTTTGGGCGAAGAACGAGCGAGCGAGATAGTGAGCCCTGCACGTGCGGAAGGGCGAGAGGGTACTTCCAACGGGCTCGCGCAAAGCACCCTTCTAGCCGGTCGCTAGCGGTGTACCAAATTTGAACGCAATCGGCCCAGCCGTTCCTGAGATCTGGAAGCGGCATTCTGCACGTGCGCACGTGCGAACGGGGTCCAAACTGACTTCTGCACGGCACCCTACTAACTGGTCCCCAACCGTGTACCAAATTTGAGCGCAATCGGCCCAGCCGTTCTCGAGATCTGGAAGCGCCCCCTGCACGTGCGCACGTGCAGTAGCACCTTAACCGCAACACATGGGAATGCATTGCCTGGTGGGTGCCTACCTGTATGCCAAGTTTCAGCGAAATCGCCCCAGTAATTACCGAGTTATTAAAATGGGAACAAATTTGACACCTCTTATTGTTGTATTTTGCACGTGCACTGGGGGTCACTCACATAGATAAAGAGTATCCGACCTTTGGTAGAAGGGATGCGGCTACCCTATAAAAATTACCGCAAGTCAATCGCCCAAGCGGCTGCTGAGATATGAGCCTCTCAAAATAACTACTTTTGCAAAACAGCTTGAACACCCTTGGCTTTTCACGTGGCACGTGCCACGACGGTCACTGAGATGTATCAAAAGTAGTCAATTACGGGGTAGAAGGGATGGGGCAACCCAGCAAAAAAGACCGCAGGCCAATCGGTCAAGCGGTTGCTGAGATATAAGCCTCTAAAAAGCGTTACAGGCCGGGCCGGGCCGGGCCGCTCATACTGAGATTTTTCCGTTATATTGAAAAGACTCGCTTCGCTCGCTGCGCTCGCTCGCTCGTAATCATTTTTTATGCACGTATGAAAGATACTTAATGGTCCTTTATAACCAGCACCGACGGATAAGCTATCACTCAATACCTACCTAACCTACCTCAACTAACTACGTATCTAACCTCAAAACCTAACAATACCCAACGGGCGCGCGCGCTACAGGGTGGGGCAGAAAGATTTACCTGTTTGTTTTCAGCCCATAACTCAAAAAGTTTTGGACGGATTTTTGTGAAATTTTGCATGCGGCTTTCCAACTGACTCGTGTATAATTGTTATGATAGCGGCCACGTCACAGCGCACAGCTTCGATCATCCCGCCGACAGCTGGTTCTTTATGGATGACTCTAAAGTGAGAGAGTGCTCTGCCGCCAGCGTTCGAGACGCCACCGCCTACCTTCTCTGCTACAGGGCCCGAGAGAGACACGCCCCTGAAGGAGTTTTCACTGGCGATGATGGTGCTAAGAGCACTGCCCCGGCGCACGGCGAGTGGCGAACCGCGCTGGCCGGCAGTAGCACGATACGCGCTCCCCCACCCTCGCGGTGGCGGGGCGGGACCGCCAGCAGCGCTGCCACGCGATTTGACTCGGCAGCCACGCGGACGGCTGACCTGGGACATGGTGGAGGGTAGGGGCCAGAAGGAGGGAGGGGAAGTGACGTGGTGACGGTGTGTGGGGTGACGATAATATTATGTTGCGCAGCTGGATACAGCATTTCGAAAAATTGTCATAACTTTTGATCATGGATGTGAAAATATATAGACCGAGCCCGCTGGGATAAAAAAAAAATTATGATCGTTTTTAATATCGTCATGGTTGTTGATGAGCTATGGCGGAAATTACAAAAAGAGCTCAAATTGCGGCGCCGATGCAGACTGGCCACAGCGTCTGAAGCGTTCCAAAACAGCTCGGTGTTACCATAAAAACTGTTAACAATATAATGATCCTCTCCATGATCTCAGATCCACTCCCTAATGCCATGGGAGTGTTTCAGGGATCTGCCCTCGGTCCTCTCCTGTTCACCATATACGCCAATGACCTCAGCCTGCACGCGCCGTACGCTCATGTGACCCAGTACGCTGACGACACCCAAATCCTTATATCCGACACCAAACGCAACCTTCCTTCCCTTATCCAACGCATGGAACTCACACTTTGCACCCTGTCTACATGGTTCCATGCCCATGGTCTAAAGCTCAACGCATCCAAAACTGAAATCATCGTCCTTGGTACCCGGCAGAACACGCGTGACCTATCCCCTGTCAGCGTACGGGTCGGTGGGGAGACCGTTCAGGAGAGCCAGACAGTAAAAAACTTGGGCTTGATCTTCGATCGCCACCTTAGCTGGGACGCACACGTTGGTGACGTGGTCCGGCGTTGTATTGGCCTCCTGATCGGTCTCCGCCATCTGAGGAATCTCCTCCCGCGGGGTGTACTGCGAACTGTTGTCGATGGTCTGGTCCTCTCGCGCGTGAGATACTGTATATCTGTATATGGCGGTGGTACCGCAAAAAACGACTCAAGGCTGCTCAGCGTGATCAACTTTGCTACCAGGGTGATCACTGGCCTCAGAAAGTACGGTCACGTGTCTCGCGCGCGAGAGGACCTTGGACTGCTCTGTCCTCGACGTATGTACGAGATATCAGCAATGGCTGTGGCCCATAAGGCAATTGTGTATGACGAGCCGGCCGACATTTCATCTCTGTTTGTGACTTTCGGTGAATCGCGCCAACAACGATGTGACCGTAGCACTCGACAGGACCGGCATTTTAGACCTCCTTTTACTCGCTCAGCAGCCGGGCAACGCTCCTTTTTATATCGCG